ACACACACACACAGTAAATGGAGCTTTTAACACAGAAACAGGGATGTAAACACAGACATGTGCTGTATTACACTGATTATTACTCACATGACAGGAACCTCCTGCACAAAACAAGCTCAGCGACGCGACCTCGACTCCAAGACAAAGCATGCTGATCACGACCTTTGACACCTGCAAAAAACAAAAATGGAAGAATCAGTGTTTATTTAGTGATTTTAAAGACACTAGGGTGAGGACTTCACCTAAGAATGGCGTATGCATTCATGGTCCGTGCTGTTTCTGCTGTCCCTGGGTAGGTTTTTATGAAAGAAAGAATAAATAAAAAACGTACGTTTATGTCTTGGTTCACTGTAAAAGCTCTTCTGCACAAAAACAAAAACAACACATCTTGTGCCAATAAAAGGATAAATAAATTCTCAGTCGTCTGGAGACTGTCTGTCCACCCAGGCAGGTATTTCATGTGTAGAATCTGCCAGAACCTGGCCGGCAGACTCTTCGGCTCCTGCGGCTGTGTTGCCTATACCGGCATATTGCTTACAGGTTTGTGAGCTAACAGTGGAGGTCATGCTGAGTCCAGCCACTGTGCCGGCTAACAGCCGTCAGCCAGAGAGCAGCTGAGGATACTTTCCTCCAGTCATGTTGAAAGCTCTCTGCTGACACCTGAACGCCCCTGGAGCATGTGTGTGGCTGTGTTCCAGCATAGTCAAGCAAGCATCCCTTGAAATAAAGAGAGACAGTCACTGTCGCTGTAAAACCTTTCCAGCACATGGCTGGCATTGTCACAAACTAGTATGTTTGGTGGGTTCCTGCTCAGCGCAGACTTCCCACTCGGCCCAGCAGCAGGCAGAACACTTTCCTCTGGTTGTGTCGGCATCTTTGGAAGAGCCCGCTAATGCAGCTCTGTTTCCCTATCCTAGTGTACTGCTCATGGGGCACTCGGTGGGGCCCTTCATGAATGCCGACGTTCCAGTCCGTCAGTAGCAGGTGAGACAATATTACTTTCGCTGAGCCAGCATCACTCTGCTGACACCTGAATGCCCCTGGAGCATGTTGCTTGTGGCAGCCAGCTAGTGCTCTCAGCGCTAGTCCGTGACAAGTACAGACGGGGCAGCTGACGGCGGGCGGCTACCCCGCCCTCAGCTGGTCTGCATGGGTCCAGAGGAGTGATGCTACTGTCATGTGGCTATCTTCTTTGAACGTATGCCAGGCTCAGAGCAGCAGCTTGACATCATGAAGTTTGGTCTGTGGCAGCACCAGGGGTCAACATTTCTGAGCCTGACTGAGGACTTTAGGAGGGCAGCTGGTTTCTTGGCTCCAGAAAGGGGGCAGACCTACTGATTCGGCCTTCTGGCTACATCCTTAGCCTACTAGGGTCTCTGTCTTAGCTCAAGTGCCTAATAGCATGAAAGTATCTCTCAGCTCTTTTGGCCGCTCAGAGACACATTTTGATCAAAACTAAAGGTGAATTCAGGCCAGCACAGGCGCTTCACAGGTAACCTGTGGGGCGTGACCGGGCAAGCCGATACGTCTTAAAGGAGTATCTATGTTCCCTGACAAGCAGGGGGTTCATTCCCCTTCACATGAAACATGGACCTGGGTGGACAGAGAGTCTCTTCACTCCGAGGACCAAGGTTACAGAGCAACCATACCATAAAAATGTGATTTCACTACGTATTACCTGTAACTTAGCAAAACAGGGGAAATATGTAATAATAATAATAATAATAATAAAATTACACACATATATATATAAATATTCTTTCAAACAGTGGCAAATGTCTGCAAAATAATGATAGTTTTGCTCATTTTAAACACAACAAGAACAGTGTGATTTCATAGGCAAATCTGACCATTAATGTGGGCGTTATTAGCATTTTTTGCCTGTTTTTTT